GTTCTAGATTAGTTGTTTGTACTATCAGTCCATTTATGTAACCGGGTCTGTCAGGCCCATATTAGAGGCCCAGACCCGGATTTTCCCTATATATACTCCTTTAGGAGGCTACACAACTAATACAATCAATATTCATTCTATACACTATTCATCTTCTTCTTCATCATTTCTTCTCCACTCTTGTTCAATCTCTCCTGTTTATACAATATGGGTATCAATTATCCAACAATGGTGCTCTCGTTGAGAGGTTTGAACACATCACGTGAGAAAACCTCCCAAAAATACAACAAAAATCATCCAAATCACAAAAATTCCAGAAAAAGTTGTTCTCGAAAATCAAAATAGAAAAAGGTGGAAAATGAATCTGCATTCTGGGGGAACTGGAGCAGCAAGAACCACCCATTGCCGTGGGTAAGGCTCCAGATCTCAGACCTCGTCACCGCCCTAGAGCTCACTTGTGGCTGCATCTGTAGACATTGCCGCCAGCAAAGGCGGAGTTGTGGCCTCCGTCATCCGTCGCTAAGACGTGAGCACCCAGTTCGCACCGCTAAGATGTGGCTCGTTTCGGTGGTCAAAGGGAGGGCTCGTTCCAGAAATCCGGTCTCGCCAAAAGCAACCTGAGCAGCAGCGGTTCCTCTTCCACTCTCCGGCGAGAGCAGTGACGAGGAGCGATGGTACTTCCAGACCAGCGACGACCCTGCTTTCACTTTTCCGACCTGTCCCAGACCTGGCCGGAGCAACCGTCACCGCGCCGTCGTGTCTCAGGGGAGTCACCGCAACACTTTCTGGTCTAGCATCGCCGCCACCGGCAAACCACCACTACCACGGAACATACCACCAACGCCGGGGGGCATCTACCGTTGTGCGCCACCACTGTAAGCTCATGGAAGGTACAGATCCGGAGAGGACAAGCCTCGATGATTCGCAACCTGTAGGTGCTATTCCTCAACCAAACTCCGACGGACCAAAGCTCTGAACTCCCGCTCCTCTTTCGCAGTCGCACCACTGTTGCCCCTTTTTGATACAAGCCAGTTGTTTCTCAGAAAAAAGAAGAAAGAAAATCCGGGTTTTCCAGATCTAGGTTGGGGTCGCCGGAACCGCCGCCGCTGTTTCAGCCGCCGTGGACCCTCCGGTGAGCGGCCGACCTGTACTGCTTGGCCTTGGTGGGATGTTTCATCTGCCTCTTCACAAGATGCTCATCACTTGGATGAGAGCAGACCACACGTACGAAGGGCCAAAATTGTGAAGGGGAGTTAGCTGTCAAAGATGGAGCAATTGGCATTATTTGGGTGGACAACAAGCTCCCATTATTTTATTTCAGTCGAGTTGCTCAAGGAATTAAAGGTCCAATTGCTAGATCTGTCCAGACAGTCTACTTATCAGCCCAATATATCTCAGCCCACTTCAGAAAGATAAGTATTCTTTAATTTTCAGAAGACTTTATATTTATTTAAATCATTTCTTTTTGTCGGGCGAATGTCACACTATCACGCACTTATGATCAAATGCCTAGTAGAGTGTGACTTGAGACCCATCTCTAGGATTTAAAGTCCTGACTCCTCAGGCACAAAGCCCTGACTCCTCAGGCACAAAGCCCTGACTCCTCAGGCACAAAGCCCTGACTCTCAGGCACGAAGACCGGTCTTAGTCATTCCAAGAGTGGCGACCGTTGCGTACGAATGGCTCACACCTCCGCTCTACTAAGTATCCTATCATTACATCAACAATTCACATTTCCACTTTTTCAAGTGACGAACTCCCGATCGGAATCATAAACCCCAAGAAAAAATTTATATGCATGCTAAATGTGTAGGTACGAAGATGACTTTACTCATTTTCACCTCGACTCCACTCACCTCAAAGAGTGGGGGACTGGGGGACTGAGAGGTCAGATTTTCTGGATGAGCAGCAAACATCACGCATGAGCAGGAACGAGAGTTAGATGAAGACAGGTTGAACTAGACAAAAATGATTATGCCGAAAGGGGCCTACCTTCCTTGTTTCATGTTGGGGGCGCTAGGTGTACTCTTTTTCCCTTTATTAGGATTTTTTCCCACAGGGTTTTTTCCTAGTAAAGGTTTTTAACGAGGCACCTCCCCATCATGGACAAGGGTGGTGGTCCCCGGCCGGAGAGGGAGAAATCAAAGACAGAAGAATGTTGCAGATACAGTTTGGACTACTCCCTTTCGCCTCGAGTACTCTCGACTCAGGGAGTGGGGGACTCCTGATGGAATATATGGACTCCGACTCCCGGTCTGCCGACTACTGGGCCTGGACAGCGGCCCACACACGTTTAGTGGATATCATTCATATTATTGTACATTATTATTATTCAAATGTTCTAGATTAGTTGTTTGTACTATCAGTCCATTTATGTAACCGGGTCTGTCAGGCCCATATTAGAGGCCCAGACCCGGATTTTCCCTATATATACTCCTTTAGGAGGCTACACAACTAATACAATCAATATTCATTCTATACACTATTCATCTTCTTCTTCATCATTTCTTCTCCACTCTTGTTCAATCTCTCCTGTTTATACAATATGGGTATCAATTATCCAACACTAGGCTTCAAAACTTGGCATTTTTTTTCAAACTTGGCAGATTACTCTTATTAGGAAATAAAATACATGATACTCCTATTTTGGAATTTCAAAACTTTTTTGTTCCTATTTAGAGCAATTTCTAAATGTTTTATATGTGCTCTTGTTTATTTATAAGCGTTGTATTATTTATAGAACATGATCTAGCTTTGTTTCTATTTATTTGTAAGGGATTTCTTAAAAAAAGGATGACACCCCATCCCTGAGGGCCCCCAACCCCGATCGGACGGTACGTAGAGAGGATGTAAGTTGGACTATAATCACAATATGACAGATAGAGAGTGGGGTTCTGTCCCTGGTACTGACAGAGGCCCTATGCATTTTAGCATAGTAACCTCTCATCGCAGTTGCCGGGATTCGAACCTGGGACCTAACCCTTGTAGCACTCCCTTGCTACCGGTTGAGCTACGCCCACCTTTATTTGCAAGGGATTTCTTGGTGATATTAGTAAAATGGGACCATAACTGACAGCATTGAACGTGGAATACCTGAAGTTTTCATCTTTTCATTATCCATCTTCTTATATTACTTCCACATTCGTAATGTTGCTGTGGAGGCAATGTTCTAAAAGGCGTAAGGCGTGTCGAGGCGCCACGACCAAGCCCGGAGCCTTTGAAGCCTAGGCGAGTTAAGGCGAGGCCTATGCGTGAAAAGGCATTTTAATATTTTACTCATTTTTTAAATTTTTCTAGAGCTATTACATAAGAAATAATGAATGCTTATAACTAAAGTAAATATGGTGGTCAAATATGACTCCTTAAATGTAATGGTCATAGTAGCAATTTTTAATTACTTCCTCCGTCGCACTAGACGTTGCCAACTTTCCTTTTTTGTTTGATTCAAAAAATTGTCAATTTCCTTTTATAGTGATGAATTTGTGATTCTGTTCATTCTTCCATCCTTTTTTGAACTTTTGTAAACAATGTAAATCTCTGTAAATTCACAAGCTTAACAGCAAGACTGGGAGCTGGGTTCGAGAATTTCACTTGTACTTTTATTGTTGAACCTAAGTACTTTGGTGTAATATATATTATTGTATATATAAAGCTAAAATGAAAAGCTTTTTTTAATAAAAACATTACATTTTAAAATATAAAATCACTTATATATATATTCTACGTATATGACAGTAAATGCGATTATTTTTTTAAAAAAAAAATCGACTTTCTATAACGGTTGGTTATTTCACCCATATAAAAAGGATTTTATATGGGGTATTACTGGACTGACACGGAAAACATTCTATAACGGTTAAATTCCTAACCGTTATCAAAAACATTCTATAAGGGGCACGACTAACCGACACGAAAAGTGCCCGATTTTCTATATCGCTGGCTACTATGTCGTTACGGGAACCGACATAAAAAGTGCTTTTTAACCTATATAGAAAGTGTTTTCTACACTAGTGAACATCAACTTGGTAAAGTTGAGCGGGACAAAGTTAGTACTACTTTAATGTTTAATTTCTATAGTTAGGTAATCATTATAGTACACTCATAGTAACTTTGGTCATATTTTATCAATAAATTTTTATTTTAATAATATTTTATGAAAAATCTTCTTAAAGTAGTTAATATGTTATCAAAAAATAAGAAATCGAAACGGGATTAAACTGAAAAACAGTATTCTCTCCAATACTCCCGTTGCGGGTTATGATGCTTGACTAACAATAAAATACTCTGATCCCTGTCAACACTCGAATTATTTGTAGTAAATAAAATTTATATATTCAGAAACTCATTAAAAGTTTTACAAAATAGCAAAAAAAAATCAAATTTGCTAAAAGTTGGATATATAAAGTAAAATATTTAAGTAGTTTATGTTGATTAAGTGAATAGTAAATGAGACCACTACTACATTTTTAGACCTAATGTAACATTAATGATGTAACATATCTATAATAGTGTTACCTATTTCTCTAATGTAACACTTTTTAGACCTAGTGTAACACTTTCTAGAAGTATAATACCTAATGTAACACTTATACTTCTAGAAAGTGTTACACTAGGTCTAAAAAGTGTTACATTAGAGAAATAGGTAACACTATTATAGATATGTTACATCTCTAATGTTACATTAGGTCTAAAAATGTAGTAGTGGACTATCAAATTGGGACGGAGGCATAAATAATTCATCGAAACCGTTTCAAACCAAACCAAATTGAAAACCGATAAAAATCGATTCGAAAGCCGATATTCTCACCCCTATTTAAAAATTAAAATCTTGTGCAACTTTTCACTTTTTGTTGTTCCAATTTCTTTTACTATTTTAATTGAAAATACTACGTAAAAAATTTACTGTTGAAGTTATTTTTCTTTCTCCTGTATAAATTTCGATTAGATCATTGTAATTTAATACCATGTACGAATCAAGATTAGTGTGCATCCTTTAATAACCAAATCATGAATCATGCGTATCCCAATCATTCATTTCATTTCATTGCTTAAAACTCAAGTCTTATTCCACAAGGACCCAAACATGTTGTCTGTATAATATGGAGTAAATATTTTCCCTGTCCTGTATCCTTTCGTCTCCAAATACTTGCAATAATCGATCCTCCAGCGACTTTATCAGGTCAGTTCTACACTATGTTATCGAGTATTTAAATCTTCAAGAACTACACGGAATTTGGAATGCGACTATAATCGCTACCTGCTCCCAAGTCCCAATTACAGTCTAAATGTTTGTTAATTTAGAATTAGGCTCAGAATGATGTGATTGAAGAATAGCATATGAATCTGGATTTCGCTTCTTTTCTTTACTGCTATGCTTTCAGTCTCTGCCAAGTATGAGTCCATATTCATCACTGGCCTCTTTTGTTCCTAGAATTGAGATTTCCAATTTGTTTACTATTATAGCCAAGTTAATCCGTTTTTAGCTTTATATTTTACTTATAAGTTTATTCCGCTTGAATTGGGTATCCTAAAGCTCTCTAGATTATGGATCAGAGGGATAGAATCAGGGAACTGCCTGCAGGTATACTTGACAATGTTTTGGGATTATTGCCAATCGTAGAAGCTGCTAGAACTGCCGTTTTGTCCACATATTGGAGAGATGCTTGGTACGAGCTTTCTCGTCTCGAGTTTGACGAGGAGTATTATAATTACATGTACGATAATCTTACACCTTATCTTGAAGTAATCGACCAAGTTCTCAAGCAACACATTGGGCCTATTCAAAAGTTCTCCATTTACACAACTGAGAAAGTATACGAATCTGAGTTTGATGAGTTGTTCCTTTTGGTCACACACAAAGGAATTGATGCAATCGGCATTTATCTAGATTGCAATGCTTTTATGAAATATCGGCTCCCTTCTTGCATATTTTCATGCCGTACTCTAAAGGCGCTGCATCTTTTTGGAGTAAACATTGAACCCATTAATGCTCCTCTCATATTTCCCAATGTGAATTCGCTTTTCTTTAAAAGTGTTCGTTTCGGTGCTACAAACCATCATCTTCATGCCGTTAATGTTCCTATGCTTGAAAGTCTGTCATATACCCAATGTAGTGGCATCTCCCATTTTGACATCACTGCCCCAAAACTGGGTAGCTTATCAATCAAAGGATGTTTTGCTGACGTTGATGATGATGATGATGATGATGGAGATGATGATGAAAGAGATGGTGAAGTTGATAATGATGGCAACGACAACGGAAGTGCAACTGAAAAGGGAGAAAACAAATTGGGCAGTGGTTTTCTCCCAATGAACTTGGATCTGACATCTATACGCACTCTCCATTTGTGCTCTGATTCCATTGAGGTATATTATTAGTTATTCCTTTATGCGGGCTCTAATTTATTTATTGAGACTGTTCTAACTTCGTTTTAATGATTTGCAAGGGATTTGTTGATGATATTTGTAAAATGAGGCCAAAACTGCTAGCATTGAATGTGGAATACCTGGAGTTTTCAGGTTTCTATTTCCCTTTTTCTTATGTTAATTCCAAGTTCGTTAAGTTGCTGCGGAGGTGCCCAAAATTATGCGAACTTGATATATGTTGTCAGGTAATTCTTGTTTGTTAGTTTTTATTGAGAAAATTTTGATCTATTACCTTTGTTTCTGCGGTGTTCTGATATGCAATGTTTTGTATGATCACTGAATTGATTGTCTCCCCTTTCCACTTTTTCATGGATCACCTTCTGTAGTTTGGGGGTTTAGAATCTACTTTGGGGATTGATGGGGTTTCAGATCTTCTCGAAGACCTTCACGGCATAGATCAGACTCACAACAGGCTGCATACTTTGAAATTTAGCTTATTCAGAGGGTTGCGGCCCGAACTGCTCTTTATCAAAGAACTGCTTGTGCGCTTTCCAACATGTGTGAAGTTGATTATTAGTCTTAACAAAATGTTCGACTCCCATAAGAAGTGTGAAATTATGGAGGAGTTGGTATGTCTTACTATTGACTCAACAACAAGAGCAGAAATTGTATTTGTGTAGGAAACCGTTTGGGATAATTATGCAAGTAAACATGTCATACAGAAGGTAGCTGTTTTATTTTGGTCTGTTAGAAAGCATATTGATGAGTGATAATCATAACAATTGAGTTCTAATATGACGATTGTTATAGATTTAATATGACCGAAGTGAGTTCTGTACAAAGGCACCGGAGCAATTGCATTTATGATTGTCATTTTGTCAATGTAACCATCAATGGCCTCGATGTGGACCAAATTGTTTATATAAATACGGAGTAGTTTTCTTGGAAATATTACACTTTTAGTCTTATTTATACGCAGTGTCACTTTTTTTGAGAGAAAATAGCTTATATTAAGATCTTAAAATCCAACCAAACAACAACAAAACCAGACACAGGAGACGAGCAAGAAAGATTAGAAAAATTACTCGATCATATGCCCTGAGATCAAACTCAGAACTATCACCCACTTAGGAGCAATAGGATCTGCTAATCCTCACTTGAGCAACTGTAAGCCAATCATGATCAACGATGTATTCTGATCACTTACCTTATGTTGTATTTCCCAAGTGCCAAAAGTAAAAATCAAACAAGAGTCACCCCGGGTAAACACAACCTGGGGTAAAATCATAATCCAAATGACTTAAAGGAAAAGACAAATAAAAACGGATTACTGTAACGAAAAGACTTGCAAAGGAGACTCAGGCGAGCCTAAATACCCAGGTCTTTCTCTTCCACGTTTTTGGCGCATCCACCGCCATATCGCCTGCAAGCATATCTTCCACATCTGGATTCTCTATAACTCGTCTTCTCTTCGGTTCCCCCATTCTGCTATAACCAGAACTTCCAGCCCAACTGGTTGTGAGGTTTCCCCTGCATAGGAGAGGTCTCGTTTTCGAGTCCCACTAGCACCAGTGGTACTATGCTCCCCCAAAAAACCCTTCAAGTGGTAGGGCCAAGCGGTGTATACTAACCCGTAGGGCCAAGCCAAAGTTGGATTTCTGGGGTAAGGGGTCGTGAAAGCGGTGGAGCTAGTCACTATAAAAAGTTTACCCATACCTTAGTCCCCCATTCTGCTATCAACTTTGCTTGCACGCGCCATCTGTGTAAACACCCCTGGGAAAAGAACTACCGTTGAATCCCGCTCCAGACTCACCCCATCACCGTCTCCTTCCTTTCCTACCTGATTATTCCCCCCGTCCAGCTTCCTGTATCACATCCTTTACGAGCCATTTGTTCACTCCCAGCATTCTACCCCTAGCTCCTACTGCTCTCAGCTTCGGAACATAGAGCTTAACTAAGACTCCTTCCCCTTTATTATGCGTCTGAGGGCAAAATCGATCAGTATGGCCCATCAAGCCACACAAAAAACTGAAATTGGGATGTTTTTCATACTTTAGATCCACCCAGAACCACTCCAACTCAGTCCTACCCAGCCTCACCTTCCTCCTCAACAGCTTTATTGATATCCAAACGCACCCTTAGCCTCATATATAGTTTCCACTAGTCCTCAAATTGGCTTTCTTCAACTTGAATTAATTCACCTAACGCAGTTCGAATAAGTTTTGCAACCCACATTATCAATTAATATTTTACTTTGTTTGTTCCGTTAAGATGTAATAAACTCCGCTAAAACTTATGAGCGAAGTAGTCCTTTCCGTCGTATATATATAAAAAGAAATAAACTGAGTAGTATGTAAAAATTATTAATGGCGGTGGGCCTGGGCACGGATTAGGTCCTGGATAAGGTCTTGGTCCCTGTCCTGGTTTGTATTTATGGCAATCTGAGGCTCTAACCCTGACCCGGATATTACGAGTCCCTATCTAGTTTCGAGTACTCGACTAGTCCCGAGCTCGGTCCCGGACGGATTCTGGTTTAAAAAAATATTATTCATGATGCTATGAACTCAACGCATAGCGCCATAAGTCGAAACCAAACCAGTCCAAGGGAAGAATGGAAATCGTAAGGGAGGTGCCCTTAGGTAGAGGAGTATGATTAGTTGAATCTCTATAAATCAGTGGACACTTTACTTGTTTTCTTGCTTTTACTTTGATTATTTGTGCACACACAAATATGCTCGCTTGCATGGGCGGATCTATGTAGGGGTTGGGGTAGGCTCCAATCCAGCCCAACACAATTAATTTTTAATATTATAGATATAAGTTTAATGTCCAGTCCACCCCAAAATTATGTCTAGCCTAGCCCATGTCTGTCACTTTTGTAATCCTATTTGATTATTAGTTGAATTTTTCAGTAGATAATACAAGAGTGTTTATTTATTATAAATTTATAATGATCAAATAGAGAATTAAAGATTAGAAAAATGATTTATTTATTATAAAATTAAAGATTAGAGAATGATTTATTTTGCATTTTAGACATGTAAGAAAGGATTCAAAATCTCAATTCAATTTTGAAATTGGGAATACTTAGTTTTATGTGCAACGACGGTTTTCATTTATTAGTTTTATAATTTATAGGAAAATACATGAACGTTCACATCACATGCGGACTAGATCTCAATCACGAGTGGAATTCCGAAGACTCGATTAAGCTCTTAGGGACCGATCTTAAGGGATGTTTTTTTGTCGTATTTTGGGTTGGTTTTGTATGTTCATGTTTTTTTCCTTTAGCTACTTTTATTTTTGTTTCCTCGTGTACTTTCCCTTCTCACTTTAATAAAATTTGATTTCATTAGAAAAAAATTATTCATATCAATAAATACAAAAATCTTTACTAATCTCTAATAAATTTATAAAATTGCACTAAAACCTATAAATTTTAAGATACATGTACTACCCCTGTTCCTTTTTATTTAGCCATCTTTGACTTTTTCAGTCAAAGATGGTAAATTTTAATTTATTATTTTATTAATTGTTATAACTTTTTTATTTATGCTCTGATTTTTTCAAACAATATATCAAATCAAATTATGTCTATAATTTATCTAAATTTCTCTGATTTTTAAATATATTTGAATCAATATATCAAAAATCAATTTTTTATGCAGGTAATGATTTTTAAATGTACATTTTTTGGGGCTCAAGCATAAATTTACATTCTTCATAATCTTGAATACCTCCGTGAGGTGAGCCGCAAGATCTGTAGTCTTCTCGCTTTTAATGATCATATCATCCACACAATCATTCATGTTCCGTCCCAATACAGTCTTAAAAGTGTCATCAATATTGCATTTTTAAAATTTTGAAAAAAATATATTTTTTGATTAGGTGTTTAGCATAATTTAGGATATTTTTACTTGAATTGATTTCAATCCCAGACCATTCAAGATTTAAATAGACCAAAATAAACTTTAATTTACCAAATCAAATTTTGATAATTGTAAAATGCACATAGCCACATAGATCAGACACCTAACAGACGACACCAAACCAGACTTAAATAAATCAATTGAAATCATATCAGACTATATGAGATCAAAAAATTCTAATCCAATGAGAAAATCCTTAATCGCCTTTCTTATTTTACTATCGGAACCAAGAGTGGCATTTTATACCATAGCTGACTTAGGTCTATGTTTGGTTGATGAACCATTTCGATGCTCAATTTGTAAATTGTGTATACTGATTTGCTAGTAGTTGTATGCTCATTTTAAAATGGCATATACGTTATATTAGATTCGCATATTGAAATTCATTAAACTTGATTATAGATATAATTTTGATAAGTTTTTATTAAAAATAAAAAAGAAAGTGAATCAGAAGTTATAAAGCAGAACTCATGATGCTTAATATTGGAATCCTAATACTCAACATAATAGGTCCGATGCTCTTTAAAAGTTCATTAATGCTCATTAAACAGAAATCATGATTTCCATCGATCTCAATCGAGGATGTTTGATGCTCAACGGATATGTCGTGATGTTCAACTAACAAACCTTACGATTTTCATATCAATACGCATTTCTTAAATTACGTATGCTCATCTAGTACTGATTTTGATCACATATTGAAATTCATAGGAGTTGATTATAAATAGGTAGAAATAATTTAAATATCCTAAACTTTGAAAAGGTGTGAGGTGAACACCCCAAACTCACGCATGTAATATAAATATCCTGAACTTTATATAAAAAGTTAGGTTAGCACCCACGATCATATGATTTTCTTTGACAAATGTAATTTTGACACAATTTAAAACATATATAGACACAATTAACATATATAGACTAATAAATTATTAGTTATTCCATAAATAGAAGCTAAGAGCTTGAGTGTTAATTGCATTCTCATAAATGCTGAATGTATTTAAATTATTTATTACATTTGTGAAATAAAAATCACATGGTCTTGGTGCTAACATAACTTTTATATAAAGTTCAGAATATTTTTATTGCATGCGCAAGTTTGGGGTGTTCACTTCACACCCCTTCAAAGTTGGGGGTATTTGATTTATTTTTCCCTTATAAATATAATGTAATACTACCTCCGTCCCTTAAAACTTTGCCAAAGTTGACCGGCACGGAGAATAATAAAGTAAAAATTGTGTGGTTGAGGTTTGTGCAGAGGAGAGAGAAATAACAGAAACCACAAAATAATTGATTAAAAGGGAAAGTGTCAAAGTTTTTTGGGACGTCCCAAAAAGGAAAGATGACAAAGTTTTAAGGGACGGAGGGAGTACTCCGTAAGTTTTTGTAAATGAAAATTAACAAAAAGAAAGTGAATTAGAACTTATGAAGCAGAGATCATGATTTTAAATATTAGACTCCTAATGCTCAACATAATAGGTTTGATGCTCATCAAAAGTTCAATAATGCTCATTCACCAGAAACCGTGATTTTCATCTCAATAGCGGAAGTTTGATGCTCAATTAAAATGTCGTGATGTTCAACTAACAAACCTTATGATTTTCATATCAATGTGCACTTTGTATGTTATGTATGCTCATTTGGTACTGATGTTATGCTCATTTTTAAAATGATATATCAATGCATATTTCAAAAGTATCATACTACCTCCGTCCCGGTAGACTTTGCCAAGTGCAAAGTAGGTGAGAAATAAGAATAGTTAAAACTGTGTGGTTGAGATTTGTGCAAAGGAAAGAGAAATGTGCATAACCACAAATTAGTTCCTTTAATAGGAAAATGACAAAGTTTTTTGGGACAACAAAAAAAGGAAAGGTGGCAAAGTCCAACGGGATGGATGGAGTATTACATTAGGCTCACATGGAGGGGATTAAATATGGCCTAGGGTTGCAGAAATTCGTCCATACCTCATGGGCCTCAATTAAAATGGGCTTCGGGCTCTATTTGCTTGCATTTTAATAGATAGAAAAATCAGCATTTATGCAATGT